TTCGACAGGTGATTCACTTCTTGAGGGATTGTCAGACGACCCAGGAAATCAAACCCATGGAAACGCTTTTTTTTTTGAAAATGTGGCAAGGGCTCCAGAAAATCGAAATTTCAGAATTATCGTGACACCTGCCGAGAAAGTTCACTTTTCGAAATCGTTTTCGTTTACTGTCCGTAAAGTGTCTGTTTTCGCCATTCGAAATTCCCTTCACGCATTAGTTACGCAATATATAGTAATTTAACGAGTGTGAGGGTTATAGGCTGAGCCAGAGGTGATGATTGTGATTAAAATCGTTAGAAAATTCTTTTTTTCACATGTGTCGTACGAAATGTCATGATTTCCTTCCTCTTCAGATCTCTCTTCAGGAGATTTGGATCTTTTGCTGTTAAATTCATTTTGAAAATATGACCAAAATTTAAAGGTCCTCTACCGCGTCGTATAATCTTTTGTTTATCATATTTTTTGTAATAATATATTTATATAAATAAATATATTACAATATATTGTTTAATTTTTGCAGTGAACACTCGAAAATGTCTGATTTGAAGACTTTTCATGTCAGAATTACTACAATTTAAATATTTTTCTCATTAACATTAAAAAACGATTTGGAATAATTCAATATGCAATATCGGAGGAACGAACATTCATGAAATCACCTAATTGATAATGCATATTGAATAACAATTTCATGGTATCTTCCTGAAGGAAGGCTAACGGTTTCACCCGATGGGGCCTTGAAATTCAGATTACACTCGTGCCCTATAGGTTACGTCCTTGAAAAAATTCTCCAACGAACCGAGAACCTGTTTTTGCGATTCCACACAAGTTCCTGAAAACAGCAATTGATATATATTTTTTGTTTTTATTCCTATAAATGAATTTGAAGAAATCTGAAATCTGAAAAATAAATTTAAAAAAAATATCCCGACGAAAATATTAGCAATTCGTCAATTCCAAATTTCGATTTTTTTTTATTAATTTGAAATTTCATGTGTAGTTGATGAATAGTGTGGGCATTCTCTTGAGGAAAAATGAGAATCGATCGAAATGTGGAGCTACACTAAGAGAAATATTCAATAAAAATTACGTGTATTTTCCGTAATTCTGGAGCGAAATGTAGTTGTCGGAAATTTTACGGAACTGTCACGTAATTTTTATCTGAAGTCACGGAATTTTTCCGCGGTGTTCCGTAATTTTTATCTGAATTATCGGTGAAAAATAACGATACCGTCACTTAAATTTTTCGAATCAACTCCGTAATCGGTAAGTGAACTGAAAATTCCGTAATTTTTACTAAATATTTCTCTCCGTGTTCAACAGTCTGAATCAGCCCTTTTCCACTTCTCTATACTTTGCCAATATTTTCCGTCGGATTTTTGTCGCGTGATTTCCAACCTTCTTTGCTATTCCCAGGTATATAATCATCATCGTGAAAAAGAAGGGGTTACCCCAGGTATTTTCACATCGGGGAAAAGAGCACGAGACGCCGCCTATTGTCTCCTATTTTTTTCACCAATACATCATGAATTGTCCAACCCCTGGACTTCCTCTTGGCCTATTACACCTTCACCGAGTGTTCTTTACGCGTTTCAGAGTATTGATTCCAGATTTATGCATATACGTGAATTATATGAATTATAGTCATGAGATGCCCTGGAAAAAGCCTAATACCAGATTTTTAGGGGGAAAAATAAAACGAAGAATTGTATCCAGAGAACATCGGCAAAACTTCAAAGGAAAATTTGCAATCACAAAGGAACATTTTGCTCGATAAAAGACGCATCGTCATGGTTCTTTTATTGGAATCAGTTTCAATTTTTCTTGGTAATCCACGAGAAATGTCTCGAGAGTAGGCGGTCGAGGAGCTGCGTAATCGTCTGCCTCGTAAAGAAAAGCTTAAATATATGAACGGGTGAAAATAACTGGTGGGATAAGAGGTAGCGAAGTATTGAAGAAATATGGCGATAGCCTACTGGGTGGCAGATTGCCGCCTATAGGTAATTAGTGGCTGTAAAAACCAGAGAACTGGAAACCGGAGGTAAGAATTCTTCGGTCATCGATTTCAATTTTAATAACTGTAAAAAAAAATTCATGCACTCTTTTTTTGTAATTATTTAGAGTTTCTCGGTAATTATTATCTTTGGTTTTACTACACCCAGTAACAATTCCAGCCACTATTTACTTGTTAATTAATTATCTTGTGTTAATCGGGACTTTTTCTTCGTTTATATTCGAATTAAAAAGGACTTTGTATTTATGGTTATTCCAGTAAGAGTTAAATATACTCTCTCGATAGTTTCACAGTTGTACATATTCAATTACTCATTGAAGATCATTGCGCGTTTTAATATATGAGAGAATTAATAGAAAATCTTAAGATTGTTGCAAAATTAAAAAAATTCGGGATCTATTAAATCATGGTGTACCGAAATGTTATTATGTTTACGTGTAGATTGTACTGATTGCAATGAAAAATGAAAGTTTTAATAATTTTACATTTTATCCCAATAACTGAATAACAATTAAGATGAATCTATGAGAAAAGTCATAGATTAGATTATCTATACATATAATCCACCCAAATTTATTGTTGCATCAGGCGAAATTATCAGATTGTAAGAAAATTAACTCTTTCGGGAGACAATTGTTTTTTAATTTAATCATTTAAACTAAAATGAGGATGAATCGATCAAAATAAAAGTTATTTGGAAAGATTTAATTTCATATAGTAAATTTATTTGAAAGAGGTAAGCTAGAGGCTATATTTCAGGTGAAATTGCATGAAATCAGTGATGAAATCATGTGAAATGATCATAATCATGATAAAAAGCTGTTGAAATGACTTGTCAAGTCGCATGTCATTTGGCAACGAATAACCCATCGGAAGGAAATTAATTTAGTAGTAATATCGTTTTTTCGGTGGACACTGGCGATCATTTTTTGAAAATGCCTCACGAGGATTGAAGAGACTGATAAATGTGCAGAAATCATGGAAATTCCAGATTAAATATTCGGAGTCATTGCAATCACTTCCTCCCCTCAGGTCATGAAGTTAAAAAGTCTGATTTACGTTTAGATCGTTAAAGTGCTGGTCGAGTTAATCGCACATTTGACCTCGATGTTGTTATGCCATTTCAAACAGAACAGAATTGAAAATGGCAAGGGCGGAGTAGATGGTTTGTTTGTATGTTTATAATTACTCGGATGGAATTTGACATAAAAAAATGTCTCATTCGCATAAATCGCAAAATCGCTTTGGAAAGATATTCAAGTAGTTTTAGTGCAAATCGATTTTTGCGAGTAACATCAGAAGTAAACCTGAAATAAAACTTTTAGGTATTGACTGGAATCAATGATTCCCTGAATTTTTAAATTATTGAAAATTCAATTTTATTTGATATTGAATTTTCATAATATGATGGAAAATTCAGTCTTTCACTGAAAAATCAATTATCATTCACCATGAAAATTCCAATTTCCTGGAATTTTCAAGATAAATGAGAAATTTAGTGGACGTTTTTAATTGAAATTGGATTAAAACTCATATAATAAGAGTTAAACTTTTAGGTATTTAGTGGAATCAATAATTCCCTGAATTCTTAAATTATTGAAAATTCAATTTTATTTGATATTGAATTTTCATGATATGATGGAAAATTCAGTCTTTCACTGAAAAATCAATTATCATTTAACATGAAAATTCCAATTTTCTGGAATTTTCAAGATAAATGAGAAATTTAGTGGGCGTTTTTAATTGAAATTGGATTAAAACTCATATAATTTGATGAAACGATGACCTAAATTGTGACTGAAATTTCAACCAATTTTTAATACTGTGTTGATGAAATGAACTCTTCCAGCAGATCTCAATATTGAAAATATTCCTTTTAGTTTATTTCGAGAAAGTAATTACCGGAAAGAAGTTCCCTGTATTTTTTTGTCTCATTGCGTGGAAACAAGATTTCGGGAGTCCATGCGTGATCGATGGGTTCGATCACTTTTCGTAAAACGGGGCCTCACGTACTTGATGTTTCATTTTTTTGGAAGAATCGACAGCCATGGAGAAAACGCTGTACGAAAGTTGTTTCTTCACTTTCCTCAGAGATTATGTTGACAGTAATGAGTGATTTTGATGGATATTTTCGCTGCATAAATACTCACACACTATTTGGAAATCAAATTTGAAATTTAAAAACTTGACATTTAATAAATTGACATATTTGACAATTTTCCATTGACAAGTGGTTTAATGACTTAAATATTTTGGCAATTCTCAATTTTCAAGAGAACCGTAAAAAATTGGAAAGTTCGCGCAATTATTTTTTTGAATTTTTACATTAAATATGAAATTAGTGGCGGTTTTCAATTGAAATTTAATTCAAACTCATGTAATTGTAGATGTAGATGATTTGGCAATGGAATTTTCAAGAAATTTTAACGAGTAATAGGCACTGCTGAAATTTTTTTTTGTAATCTACTTTTTGAAATATAAATTAAGAAGATGATTTCGAGTGTTTATGACAGATAGAAACTCGTCGAATCAATAATCGAAATATTGCAGCCGTTATCGAAAGATTCATTACCCCTTCGCAATATATTTTTACGATTTTTTCCACTCACATAAAGAATATCGATAAGTGGAAAATCTTCAATTCTGGTGCGTAATGGATTGCCGTTGATTACACGTTTCGTGTCTTGCGAGAGAGTGAGAAATAAAAGTAAATCGAGCGTAATTTTGCGTGCGTGCGATTTATCTTGAATCTGAATGTCCCCCATTACTCAATGAAATGAGAGAAAGGTCTTTAATCAATTTTTTTTAATTAACCGATTGACGAAGAAGATTTTCCTTAATTCAACGCACTTCAGAGTGACAATTACTGAGGCATCAACACAATATTTTTTATAAGAAAACAATTTATTCATTTAATATGATCTTCAATTATCAATAAACACATTTTTTGGTTTTTACCGATTTAACACAAAATTATTATTCTCCTACACTATCATACATTCAATTTTAATTCTCAAGTACCGAAAAATAATCATCTACATCATAATTACACTGAAGCTTAAAATTAACTCTTACTCATTAAAAGTATATCAACATTTCAAATTTAATTGCATTTTCACAACTGACGCTCTAAATCAGTACTTGATCGCATTTTTTACTAAAATTAACTTAAAATATCAATTGTCCAATCACACTATCTATTTTTACAAAAAAAATGACGAAATTCGAGAATGTTTTGTAACGCCAATAATTCCCGACAAAAAAATGTTTCGATTGAAATTCAATTTTAAATTTATCGAAGACATTTTTTTCGGTCGACGACACCAGCCTTATGTTCTATATATCTTTGGTCCTCTAGCCGCTATGAAATCCCTTTACAATGCCCAAGCGCTCAAAGGAATAAAAAGAAATAATTTTTACAAAATTTTTCGAGGATATTTTTCCCTCCCCCCCAGGGTACTAATTAAAAACAAGAATCAGAAAAGGGCGGCTTTGGTTTCAATGGACTATGACACGTGTGTGAATGATAACTAAAACCAAGTAATGAAGAGAAAAAATAATCAATTGTTTACGAATAATACGAGTTAATCTAAAGTACTGAAATAAATAAGTTTGAGATATGTGCAGTAGTCGAAGAGATGAAACCGGAATATTTTTTCTTTCTTCAATATCAAAGGCACTCGTACAGAATCCTCCACTCACTGGTAATTAATTCACTCGTATGTTAATTTAATCATAATGACAAAGTTTGAATTATGTACAAATTATCATTACGATTTTTGGACGGTCGACAGAGAAACGAAGTGATTAAAAATTTTGTTAAAAAATAATTTCTACAGGAAATTCATTGGTCCAGCCGATAGAACATTTAATTTATTTAAGAAAATCGAATTAATTTTTGGTCTCAGCTGCTCCCTGGTATTGGTATCATGTGGTAGGAGGGTGAAATTGGTGATCGTGAGTGTTGATGGGAATTTGGTACTTGGAGTGAACGATAATCGAGTGCTGGTGCTGCTGGATGTTGTCCCTCTCGGTGTCTCCTCAGGTCCACTTTACGTTGAAATGCTTTATCGCATAAGCCACACTGGAAGGGTTTGTAACCCGTATGTTTTCTCATATGAGTTATGAGGTTGCTACTCTGAGAGAATGCCTTGCCACACACCACACATTTGTGTGGTTTTTCACCTGAAACACAAAAAAAAAAAACGTAAAAATTAGTAATAAAAGTTAATGATCTCCGGAAAATTTCTAAATATTCAACAAAAAATTCTACATTTTACTCATTTAAATTTATTCAAGTAATTTCATTTGTTTTTAATAAGTTTTGCTTATTAACTTTGGAATTTATTCTTTTAGTGTAAAAATAATTCTCACGAAATTTTAATGAATTCATCGCGACATTTCGCTTTACGAAACTGATGAATTAAAAATAAAGCGCAATTGCGGCGCCTGACACCAAGGTTAGTCATACACAGCTGTACATGCCGATAAATTCCGCGGCCCATCAGAATGATGAGAGCAGGATGAATGAATTTAATTGATCACCAAAACCAACACCGCATCATCATCGATTCCCAAGAAATTCTTTATTCTTCAGACGTACCCCTTTTCATTGTTCGCCAAAAGCAAAATTGTTTTATCAATCCACGAAAATGACTCTCAGATTTATTTCAGCTCTAGAGAGTGACGCATTAAATTCACAGCTGTTAATTTCGGGCTTTTAATTACCCAATGGAGATAAAAAAATATGGGCCAATGAAAAACAGGCGTTCAGCCGAGATTTTTGCGGCTTAATATCTCGCAATTCAGATGAGGCAAATAAACGTCATGGGAATAATTTCTATTTGAGTCATTCGAATATTTAAAACGTTGAAATAATATTCAGATTTATTTCAGTACATCCCGTCTTGAATTTCCTGAAAAATATGGCGAGACAAAATTCGCGGTACGATGAATCTCAATCATGTTTATAAATAATAAATATTCGATATTGACGAATGAATCACTCTGATGTTGAGAAAGAAGTGAAATTAATCTCAAGTGTGTAAATCATTGAATCATGATTGAAAGAAAATATTGTCACAGGTATTTTTATTCCCCGAATGCGTGATAAAATCTCCTTGAAACAATTCGCGATGAAATCACATGAATTTTCGAACATTAAATCTCCATTTTTCGAAAAATCATCACTCAAAATATTGCGTCATTAAATTCTAATTCCCGGAAAGTAATAACAAACCATTTGTCTACGTTGTAAACCCCTTTAACAATTGTTAATTGGTTTGCACACATTTAATATTAATTGCGTAAATAACTGTCATGTGTATTGAATCGACATAGACTTATTTTCCGTCCCTCCCTTTTTTTTTTCACTTCTAATGTGTGTGTTTTTCCAGTCGCTCGCTCAAAGTCATTCCCTCCGAGGGTTGGGGGTAAAGAAAATACAATTAGCGTAATTACACGAGCACCCTGATTACAAAATAGTTTACTTGTGAAAATTGCCTTTTCAATTGTTCAATGTGGAAATTTTGTCGATTTGGCAACTAGAATGATCAATAATTTATTATTCAACAATGAAACCTAATTTAGTTGAATTAGAGAAATTAATGATAATTGATATTCTCAATTAGCGGAAATTCACAAGGACAAGTCTAGAATTATTTAAACATTTGAATTTGATGAAATTTTTAATGGTGATATAATGATCATTGAAAAACGGATTTTTTACGATGAGAGAATGAAAATAAATCGAGTGGTTATTTCAAGTTCATTAATTTCACTTTATCAGTCTAATTGAGTAGAGCAAATGGTACTTGATTATTCGGAAGAGCATAAACCTACAAATATCAAAACCCGTATGTTTTCTCGTTTCCAACAAGCAATCATTAAAACCCATTCCCGGTAAACTTGTAACTGGGCGTTTCGCTTGGTAAATATTTAAGACCCCCGTAATGAGGCGAAATGGAAGAAGAGAACCGTAAAATCAATAAAACATCATTTTCAGAGTTCCATCACACGTTGTTAATCATAATGACGAAGAACCATCGGTCGAGTTGACCTTATCTTTTCATGTACCAAGATATTCAGTAAGTTTTTCGAGATATGAATGTTTGCCGTTGATAGATGATACGATCTAACAAAAAGTCGATATATTTTCAAAAATATACATCTGTATCAATAGCTTTAACAATATATACTAATAAGTACATGAAATCATTTAAATAACTTTTGAATAATTCTGAAAAAGTTTCCCAAAGTCGTGGTCTATCTTGTTATTGAATTTCGCGAAATTTCTGTAATAATTAAAATGGTTAATCAAATTTGGGATACGGAGGAAAAATTTGCTTTAAAAAATTTACAAATTAGAATGAATATGGGTTTTTAAATATTTAATATTTTTCTAATAACATTGTTGTAGAAAGATTCTGATTTGAAATGTAGAAGTAAAGAAAGATGTTAAAAATTTCAGTTTGACAGTGAATATTCATATTATATTGACAATTAATTTATTTTATAATAAATTATAATTTCAATTATAATTCCAAACTTCAATTACAAATAAAAATGACGTGGCGCAATAAAATATTTGTAGTTGTAAGTATATGAATTTATAATATCTGAATTTCGTTATCATCAAGAAATTTCTTTGTCGAAGTAATTTTACGGTAATAGAAAACTTGTAACATACATTGAGATTTTTTCGGGATAAAATTTATCAAATAAAACAAATACCAGAAGGATACATAATTTTTAATAATCAACTCGGAGTAATACCAAGGGTTTACCTCAAGTTTAACCGGAAATAATCATCAGCGGGAGTTCATTTGAAACGAGCGAGCTAGAGTACAATCATTTGGTGAAATCCATAATTTTCCCATTGTCATACGGAATGTACAGCACTTGTGTCTTGTATAATCTAAAAGATAGGGGTGGTATGCCAACTCCAACAGAGAATATAGAAGACGAGGAAAGGGGTTGGTGATAGGGTCGACATCAACCACTTCATACTCTGCGTGACACCAACTCTACCTTATACTCCAACATACAACGAAAAAAAAAACAAGAAACTTTTGTATTTTTTCCCCCGACGAACAGAAAGGGTTAGACTATCTTTTGCTGTCCCCGAGGGGAGCAATTTTCAGAGTTCTATGCAATACCGTGGGTTTTCTATCTCCTATTATTCGTATGTTTCAGTTATCTGATAGTTCTAGTGTTTTATCCCGCCCCGACATGCTATTGGAATTATGCAGACGGTCTTTTTCAGGCGCTATCATTCGAGTTTCGATACTCGATTATTCAATATCAGAGGGTGCCGAATATCATCCTTTTTTAACCTGTGAATATATGTATGATTTTTTGGTGTACACCGAGGAAAGTAGTTTTTTTTACTAGTCACTTGTACTTCGGGGAAGCTCGCGTGAAAAGTATGAAAAATACTTGGAACAAGTAATTTCATTACTTTTTTCCAGTTTTCTGTTCGGGACCAGCGACAGAGGGACTTGTCAAAACTTTTAATTAGGTAATTGACATTTTTTTAAAGCGCATAATTTACGTTTTCTTGAGTTTACATCAAAGAGGGAATTTATATAGCGTTTCACATTCTTGTGGCTTCACAGGAAACCATTCGATAGGATTTGGATTAAGTAGGATGGGGTCAGGGAATATTCTCGATATTCATTTTTCACAAGAAACATTTCATATATATTCAAGATTCGATTGCGTACACATATTGAAATTAACTGTTGTTGTGTTATTTTATTTTTTCCCGTGGATAATGGAATCGTAAGAAAATCAATGTTTTACGTACACTAGAATCAGATCTAAAATATCCTGCTAGGGGGGGATTCACGCAAAATGGGGCACTATCAGCAAAACGTTATTAACTCGTTTCCAGTCACTTTTCGCAAAAAAAAAAAATACAATTTCAGAAGAAAATATTACGATTTATAGGAATTGACAATCTTTTGTTAGTTAATAAAATTCTGGAAAAACTGAAAAACTCAATAATGTCCGGCATTAAATGTCCTGATTCATTCCGTTTAACCCCCTGTCCTATTTTACCCGGGTCTTCCCTTTATTTGTATTAATGTATGCGATCTACTGGTGGTATATTTATATTAATATATTTTATTCACGTGTGGTTTCGGATAATTCAATAAAACTGAGGAATTCCGATAATTTGGATAATTCCATAGAATTAGAGGGAGGATTGAAAAGAATGGTGATCGGAGGGGCTATTAAAATTTTGATGTTTAGAATGGTCTATGGAATATGTACAAATGACCGGAAGGAAGGTGCGATGGGAAATTGGCTGTTTGTTGGGCGTTAAGTGAGTTTCCTGTAGCCGGCGTTGGTTCGACACGTGCCCGACGGCCGCAACTAAGCGATGCCTGGGGTGCATGTTTCAGGCTAATTAACTAAAACAAAAAGGGGAAAGACGAGCACACGTACAACGATAGTCGTAATTCCGAAGACCCAACGTTAAATTGTCATCTTACATAGGCACATCATTTCCCGGGATGCTCTATCATTTTCTTTTGACAGTTTTTTTTTTTTTTCGAAAATCCTCCAAGCGAAAATAACCCCTCGTTATGTATACCTTCCCGAAATGCAATAGGTGTAACCCAGCATTAACTTTTTTTTCTTGCTCTGAGGTAAAAAGTTTCGTTATGATGGAATAACGTGGAAGTTTGAGAACGGAAAAAGTAACGCCCCTTGATGTCTCTGAATTATTTCACACTGGGGGTGACTTGCTGACATGTTTGATCGGACGATATCTACAGGACTGTAATTTTTTCGGCGCTATTGATTTCTTTGAATTATTATTCGTACTGAATGTACCAATTGCTCGGGATTTATTGGATTAGTCAATATACTCCTTTTAGAGATTTTTGTTATTGAATATTTTCATTTTAACAATTTACAACAATCTTAAAAATTTCAAAAATGTGGGAATCATCGCGGAAATCAAGGGAGGTCGCTAATTATAGAACAAATTTTGCCGGACGGGGCGGGAGGGAAGAGGCAGGGTGAAAGGCGGTAAAATTTTGAAAATTCAAAAAATTTCGGACGTATCACTCGCTCTTGCAGATAAATAACGGAATTTTTATGTAACGGCATTTTTTTTAACATAAATAAAATATGTATCTTTATATATAGATATGAAAGATTATGTATAAATGTATATAATAGACATATAAAAAATGTGATAAGCTCAAGATCATGATCGTATAGTCTAGGAAAAATAGATCGGTATAAGAGATTTCGTTTCACGGCTGTTTTCTCAGAAGAGAAACGAAAAGAAAACAGAAAGAAAATAAAAGAGATGTGTACTAGGAATTGTTGTAAAATGGTGAAGAACAACTTACCGGTATGAATGTACGTATGTTTCTTCATATCAGACTTCTGGTGGAACCTCTTGCCGCAGTACTGACAGGGATAGGGTCTCGTGTCTGAATGAATAAGCAGATGAGTACTAAGTGTGCTCGATCGTTTAAATGCTTTCCCACACTGCTTGCACTGCAACAAAAATCAGATAACCATACCAATTAGATTACATTCTCTCCACATTTCCCCTGGTAATCACCACGATAACAACTCAAATAACTCAACAAACTCAAATAAATAACTCCGCAAAAAATTCAATACCGATCTCCCCAAATTCGGGTCTTAACGAGTGAAAAATGCGCGAGATTGAGCGATCGCTCTTATATATAAAAAAAAAACGGCGCGAAAGTGTCCACCGCTTTTGTGATCAAACGTGCTTTCCAAAATGATATAACATAGGGTGCTTCTCACGTGATTGAAATCGTGATTGTCACGCAAAGGGCGACCAACAGCCGGTTATAACGTCTGAAATCAATGCAAAACCGTTGAATCATACCACCCAACAGATTGATAGACTGAAATCTACAATAGCGTGCGGTATTGCCGGTGTCTTTTAGGGGTAGGCGGATACATTGTGAAATCACAAAGTGCCTATAACGATCCACCGATTGTACAATATTGATAAGATGACAGTATAATGACAGAACGATGTTCAAAACGTCCACGATATTTTATAACCTATTTTTCAATACACTCCGATACACCACGACATCAAAATTTATGAGTTCCATTTGAATGGAAAAGAACATTTGCTACGTGCAGGGGAGATCAGTTGAGTAAATTCAATTTGTCCATACGACTATTATCGGATAATTGTCACCGAGGAAATATCGAGTGTAAATGATAAAAAAAAATCCCTATGCCGGTCATTCATTTGACACCTGTGTTTACAGAATATTGTGACCTGCCGTATCACTATTGTCCATCCCACCAGCAAAAGAAGATGACTGGCGCCTCTCAACTTTTGTAAAACGAACAATGGAGTCGGAAAAAAAATACATCCCCACTGAACTCTGTTATTTGCGTCTAGACACTTGTCAGGAGCATCACGAAGTACAAAACAAAGTTGCAATGTGTAGATTTCCGGTACGCGTCTCCAATAGATAATTCCAAATCATTGAGACTAACCTCAATAGAGAGAGAGCCATTCCGTTATGTTGGATTGCGATTTCTCCTTGCATAAGGGTTCATAATTGGTGTTTAAGTACTCGACATGAAGGAGTACTGAGAACAAAAAGCGTTTCTGATTCAAATTTCCAACCAATTTTTTCTGCTGGCAATCAATCTCATCCTTGAATCCATCTTTTCGCCAAATTTCTTGTTAATTCAATGGCGTAAATACTTGATCGTCGCTATTTTTTTCTCAATGAAAGTTCATAAGCCGGCTATTTTGATTGAAACAGTCGGTAGAATTGAATTATTCAGTTGAAAGTCGAGGAAGAAAAGGCCGTAAATTTGTAAAGAACTACCTCCGTTCGACATTTGACTTCATAATTCTAGTATGTCACAAAATATATATTCGCAAGGCTCGATAAGTAAACAAAAACTGTTATTGGCGAAGTAGGAAATAGAGAGACCAGTTAAACCAGCAATTATACGACAAGCCGTATGTAGACAGAAGTCCACGTGGTTGTATTTATTGATCGTCTCGTAGGAATATGCATATATCCGATTCCCTGTATAGAATATAAATAATAAATAGATCATCAAAGTTGTTGTCATTACTAGTTTCAGTTGTTCTGCAATTGACTTTGATATTTGCGCAGCGAGTGTACGAAATTAATGAATGATTTGTTATCTGATTATTTTCTTCTATTCCGTGAAATCCGAATACATTACGGAATTAATTTGTTCGATTTTCACTGCAATGGAGAAAAATAGAATCGTCACACACGATAATACCGTGATAGAAAGACTATAATGTATTAAACTCTGCATAATTTGTTTCTCTGTGACAGGCGTTGACTCATTTTCTCCACTCACCAGTGTATCAACACCAATGCACTAGTGGTTTAATGTATTACAGTGTCCTCAGGCACTATAATTTGACGGAGGTAGTGCCATGACAAAAAAATAACACGAGGTAAAATGAAGTAGAAAAAGAGGAGACATCGCGTATCGTGATAATACGCCCATTGCGTTTATTGGATCGATGAAAGAGGCGGAGAGTGGAAAAAATACTGATAGAATCTCATGTGTACTCTCTATTTTTTGTCCATTGATCGGTGATTTCGGATTATTTTAGCCTCTATAACTAGCCGGAGTGTCAAAATACCTCCCAATATTGACCGGGATTCAATGAAAAATATTTGCCAAATTATTATTATGGATTGTTGCTGTGATTTGGTGCATGCAACCCCAAAACAATGTCACTTAAACTGTCGTAAAAGGTCCCGTTTACGAGTGCTTTGGTTGTTCTAATAATGGAGAAATATTGTAACACCCGAGTCCGTAAGGAGATTGAACGGTAAAAATAAGGTGTTTACGGGTTTTGCCACTCTCGTAAAACTCAGTGTCGTCGAGTGTTCGCCAAAACAGTAGCTGATACTTTAGCAAAAAAAGGAATAGCGCGTAGTGGATAAATATACTCCCTTGGGGTTTCGAGATTTCTAGGATTGATTTCATGTCAGCTACGCCGAAGGTAAACCAAGGGTGTGCAGTGAAATAGTAGCTTATGGCGTTGAAGAGTCGACTTGACATCGAGATAAAAACATTGATATATTATAAACTTCTAACCCTCCTGGATCTTACTATTTTTGGAAATGTAACGGTTAAAAATTCACCACTGGGACACATGATTAATTTTTTCAGTTAAACGTAAATTACAGAGTAGAGAAAATTGATTATATATTATGCAGGATTGAATATCCACCTACCTGGAAGGTGCGCTCGTTAGAAGAGGGTGGCGTCAGGGGTGAGTGGTGAATCTGTCTCGTTATTATTGGAGTTGTTGTTGCTGACGGCGAATGTTGAGCTGAGGTTTCGCGTGCTTCACGCTCACACACGGAACCCGGTGACCAGATTTCACTCTTACGATTTACTGATGATGACACATCACTTGGTTTGGTACTTAGATTAAGGGGGACCTCTTCTTCGGAGAATCGAGCTGCTCCTTCAACTGGAAACATCAAAATTCCCCCAACATTAGCATAAAATAATCGAGAATTATATACATGAAATTCAATTCAACTAGATTAAATTCTAAGCTGTGTGGAATCCTCTCTCCCCTTCCCTTTGGAGGTCATACCATTTTTATAATTCATATAAATTCAGTTATATTTCATTCAACGTCTTATTTCAAGTTAAAAAACTTGGAATTTTTAACAACAAATTTTTCATTTAGGAATCGGTTAATTGTTTGAAAATTCAGATGACAACAGCTCTGGTCACTCCTCCTTTTTTTTTAATGGATCCATTCAATTTTATACTCGATTCCGCATAGTTTTGTTATTAATTGATAAATTAATTCGGTATCGCAGAAAAATTAATTGAACGACTTATATACTCATTACCCAGAATATTATTGTGACTGATCCCGCAAAATCATTGACTTTTTTTCCCGACAATTGTCACAATTATCCCAGCAATAACGATGCCACCGTGGGATTGTTAATTGGTCCGAAGTACACAGGTTGTTGTTCCAATGATAACGTTAACGGGTCACTGATAAAGCCTTAATATCCCCTTTTAACCCCTCTCTTGTCACCTCAACCGGTTTTCCTCCGGACTCTATTTTTTTTTTTCCACCGTCGATTTGCCCGTGCTTTCGTGTCCCCTGAACCAACAATTACCTGACAATTGACTGGCCTACTTATTACCAACTGGTTCCACTGTACTACTTCGCAAAAGTCATTCCACGCATTTGCCTTCACTGTCCAATACATGCCCAACATATCTTCCACCCCCTCTAACACTTGGCAGCTATCTATTTATCCATGATCATTAGAATTATTTTGTAAAATCACCTGAAAACTGCGCTCGCTCTGGTGTAGATCTGCGAGGTGATGTTGCACGCGCTGGACTAAGTGGCTCCTGGTGTATTGGCGAGTGTTCTGCAACTGGTGTTGTTTGTGGTGGAATTCGCGGTGGCATAAGGGAATGTGGCAGAAGAAGACCCACCGCATGATGTGCCCACCATGCTGAACTGTAACCACCGTATAACAAACCAGATCGCATGTCTGACACTGAAACAGATGATGTTCGCATTGATTTTCAGACACCGTTATGACAGCAAAATCACTATTTCAAAAGGGCCCTTCACCCTAACAAAGCAGTTGTACTATACCGAGTACTCAACTCGAGGGGAAATGGTACTTCTACCCAGGAAAAGAAAAATTGTGCACTCACTACGCGGAAAAATGAACAGCATACGCTAAAATTTACAAGACGATATATTGCATTTTAAGAATTTGTTCTTATCGGGAGATTTTGTACTTGACCGAATAATAATGAGCAATGAATTGACAAGGAGGCGAATCCTTCAACTAAATCAAATAGTTTCCATAATTACATCTTTTGGATTTGATAGAAGGAAACGTGTGCGCAAATTTAGTCAGCTAGACTTGATTTGAGGAATAATATTTATTTTTGATTTATTATGAATATAAATCATCATCTTTGGAACGAGTGCATCATTTCTTGACTTAATCTTCTCATTTGTTAGTGTACGATATGATTCTCTTGTTAATTTTCGAGTTATGACTTTCTCGATACAAGTGAAGATGCATTTTTTGAGAAATTTTTGTTTTCTGACGGGAAAAGGCATTCGGGAATGCCGTCCTAATATCATGAACTGAGAAAAAATTTTCTGCTCCAAGTAGATTCGTAGATTTTTGCTAAATAAATGATATTATGAAATGAAATAAAATCTTTACGTTATTGAAACATAACTCCTTATAAAGAGAATAATTTTCTAAAGGGAAAAGTGTATTATTGGAAATGAAATGAGTTGCCAACGTTTCGCAAACATTCATCTACATCATAAGGACTAAGTGGCTTCGATACGAAGTGAACTTTAAGTAAGTATACGGTACTGGTACGGTATTGGTGCCAAGTGGCTTTTTTCAGATTAAGCAGTCTGGTGGTAGATAAATTAACGAAATACTCTGATCGATTCGCCTCACGTAGAAGAAAATATGCCGTTTAAAATTACCTCGTGAAACCGATGCGGGTGCATGTGCTAGCTTCTGCATTCTAAGATCACTTGGGTAACCGGATACAAAGCTAAAGGCACTGAGGCGCTGGTCAGGTGGTAGTCCAGGGATCGACGAACGGCTTGATATGCCACTGCTTGAACTGCTGCTACCACCAGTTGGTCCACCTGGACTCCAGGGTGATGCCACCATGACGCATGGACTACTTGGTGGTGACAATGTAGCAGGAGGTGACAGAGCACCAGCCGGAATGCTATTGCAGATTTCTGGTTTCATCAGCCAACTCCTCGGTACTGTTTCTGAAAATATCGATAATTAAAGGCTAATGTTCGAGATAGCTTTCACATCGAGTCAATCCAACTGCCCTGAGTAATATTCCAGTGATTATTCAACGGAAGCTTTAGACTCCGGCAAGGGGTATGATGAAAGGAGGGTAACGATTAGTTTGTATCATGTCTCGTAGACCAGAAATACACGGTGGGAATATTCCATTGTACATCTACTGTTTCGTATGACAACAGAAGAGGGTGGTGCCTTCCACAATTATAGGGATATTTTAATATGTACTAGCGCATTGATATGAAACATCATTCAGTGAGTCATTGATTCAACTTCAAATATCGGATTGTCAAATAGCCACTGCCCAGTAGATAGCAAAGTCATCGGTCTTCGATCCAAAAATTTCCACCAATGGTTGCTGTCCTTCTATCAAATCGCGTGCATCTTGATTCGAATGGTCAGAAATTTGATAGCATCGCGACACGGATTGTCCGCTACACTGATTGCTAAGAGCTTCTTTTCTATAATTTATGACTTGATAAAAAAATCCACTCTTTCTAAGGAATATTGCATTAATTCACGTCTCTCAAGCCTTCGTTTCCGGTAGCAAATGTCAGTCGTCATTATGAAGACTGAATAAATCTACGTCATTATCCGGCGATATATTTTGGAGCTCATTAAATCAACATGCCATCTTATGTCGAACGTCAATCTCATATCGAAAATGATAATGAGGTCAAATATTGAACATGTGTTCAGTGTTTTGAAATAGGAGAGGCGTCTCTTGTTGATCGTTTTTATTCGAAAACGGCAGTCATTGGTGGAATCTGAAGGCGTACATCGATAACATTTTGATGTGGATTATTACAGAAACTCTCTTACATTAACAGGTGTACCCTTTTATTTTTAACTTTCTTGTTTATCTTTTTAAATTTCTGACGTCTGTTTGTAGAATAATGATTGAAAAAATTACATTCACGTCCATGTGGATGATCGTCAAACAATTTCATGACATCTCACAGACAAAAACGGTTCTAATAGGTGGAAATATGAAGCTGTTCAAATATCGCGATACATCGACGCAAAATATTCCGTGATTTCATTGCGGAATTTGTATCGATTAACACGATCGATTCGGCGATGAGAACAATTTTTTTTGTAGACATTTAATGAGATGAAAAAAAAAGAATTCATCGCCCGAATTCAATCAGTGGAAAATCAGTAGAAAATATTTCTCGTGAATATACGCTGTTGCAAAAATCAGTAGAATATTTAATTATCAACATATCTAGAATCGATAGGTGTTTAATGATTGGAATGACCGTGAATTCTCGCTTTTTCCCACGAACATTGACTCCACATCCCCAAAAATTGTCTCTCAAAATGGAAATAAAACTTGTCTAATCCAATAACTCATGATTATTTCTGTTCCAAAACTTACCGCACATGATATCTCTCGAATAATTTCACTCTAGTCCTTCACTCCATTCATTTGTGAACTCACTGATTTCGAAATAAAATCCAAACCATTCAATACGTTAAAATAATAAATCACTTCACTAAAAGTTGAAAAAAAATTTCCTGAAATCACAATGCGTATAAGTATCCTCCAAAGTATCTCCGATAAATCCAACGAAAATGCACTAAAAAAAATATTAATCTCCCGAGATTATTCACAATCGTAATCACGATCGGGGGAAAAAAAAGTGATTGAACTCGAGTTTTGATTTTCGGGTTAAAAAGCTTGAGAAACGAGAGGTACGAGTGTCCCGACGTGTAGCAGGACCCTGACTGACCTCAGTATCGCCTCGTCCTCGTGGCCTTACCCAGGTATATACTCATCCCTAACGAAAAACCCCCCCCAGTGTCTCACCTGTGCTGATGAGTTAGCTCAGCGGTAGGAAGCGCGCGCACCACCACTGCCCGTCAAGCTCCGCCCAGCTCACCAAAGGTAGCATCCAACAACATGAGGGAGGGGATGGACAAACCAATGTGATGCTGATTGCTAAACCTTCCAGACAATTACCGTCAATTAATTCAATGTGCACCGATAATGAGCCCAATATCCACTGATTTCATCATCAAAATTACACCCCCACCCCTGAAAAACCATGCGAAATCCTGATATTCTCCCTAAATCTATCAAATCCATTAAATCAATTCACCAACTCACCGGAATCAATGCGAATCCTCGACTAATCAATCCACGACTCCATTTTCTCTCCTGACACCCCGGATCTCATGCTGATCTTCACCCGAATGTTGAAAAATAATTTAGTATCAGTATTTAGAGATAATTGTTTCACTTGCCCGGACTCACGCTACTATATCACAGCTAGGATTTGGATTGGATGTGGGCGTCAACTCTAATGGCGCGCATGCGCACTATTAGAAGCACGTCATTCGTTGTGCTGCGTGATTGGATCCCCAGGATTTCTCCTATTATGAAAACCATCCTAGGATCACGAAGATGAAATACTCTCCCTCTTGAAGTCCCACGGGATAACAATTGTCAGTTTATTTGTACAGGTAGAAAGAACTGATGACCTTGATAATTTCGACCAATAGCTATTGGATGATATCGCTGGATGGGTGATATAAGCACTTTGTTTAATTTTTCTAGCTTTATCCTGGGGAATTTAAAAGTCCCCACGCGGGATACAATATTTGAATTCCCAATGGCTACGACATGCGATTGCTATCGCACTGACACGGAAAAGAAACTTTATGACTGATTGGGGGATGGAGATATGAAGAGTGATAAATATTTGAATTGTATTGTAAATTTTCATTCGCTATCATTCCGAGGACTTTCTTCATTATCATTGTTTTTAATGCCACGAGGAATTGATGGGAACAATTTTTAATATGAAAACTAGATCAACCGGTGAATGAGGCAAAATGAGTGATCGCAACATCACGAATTGGCTAATCCAACCAAACAATGAGGAGTAATTATATTTCCTCAGTGTCAAGACGGTGAATGCATAACAACTGTCTGCACAATTGACGTAAGCGACGTTGGTATATTTTTTCTTCATTTTTCTAATCACAAGCACTATTTATTTTTCTTCGGCAACAATAACCGGTGCATTGTAAATGAAATGTGTACGTGTGGTGGAACATTGGCGCGCATTTACAGGGGGATGTCAGGTTATGTAACATCCACCTATCAGTTCTTTTGTGGTTATCATTGGCAATGCCGGCAGAAGGTGAGTATTGCACGGTCTAATTGTGTCGATATTACAACAATACGATTCTTTTTCGATATTTTTAGATTCATCATGCGAGGCGCTGTTCCAGTTTTACTGGAGTTCCCGTTCGAATAGTGATTGAGAAATTAATTGAGACATCAACGCCGAGGTGATAATTGTAATAATTCTTTTTCTAGGGTATAGGAGAGAATGTGCTGAATACTCAACCGGAAGTATTAATGCAAATAATATATTTACGATTTACAAAATGGATATCCGCAACATGCGGTTGGGCTGGTCTTTGTGTACGTACAGAGTTGAGATGCATGTACACTGTCCAACTGTTGGGTTGCTTTTATGTTTCGCAAAATGAGAGGATGAAAAAATATGTTTTCGAATTCGTTTTTCTAATGAGAAGATTAATGATTGTCCTCTAAATCATGGAAATGCTGACAGACTATTTTGGTATCGTGCATTTTTCTATTCTCGATACATCTTTCGATTATAAATAAAATAAAAAATATTACTTCAGGCATACCTCTATGATTTTCCTTCAATAAAACGCATATGATGGTAATAATGAATTTAAAACAGGTGCACTCGAAGGCCGCACAATTTTCTAAGGCATGCAAGTCGAAAGGAGGAGAGAACAATACTTTTTTTTTTACTCAGCATAAAGGCAAAAAAATTTATCTCTGATATTGCATTGGAGTGATGATTTTCCTTTCTTCTTTATTTTCTGATGTAAAAGATATCCGGTGGAAACTGGTACAGTGAATAACAAAAGTCAAGGAGGAAAGGCAAAAATATATCGCGTGTGCGATTCGTTCAGTAGGTCGAGGTTTTTTTTAAAGATTGGGGGATATGGGCGCAGTGGTCAAAAGATTTCTCACTTCCCTTCAACTGTAATATCACTGAATACATACCCTGAATGGTCCATTCATAAACATTTTTTTCGTTTTTATTTTTGAGATGCTGAGGTGAAACTTCACTCGAATCCAACAAAGGGACATCAATGATTTACCAATACCGTAAGACGGTTATGCAGAATATGCTTTTTTTTTCTCTCCTGCAAGATGCATTTTTGCTTCAGACTGAGATAATCTCCTGTTTCCTTTTCCACACTTTCACAAGAAATTGCATGCACGACACTAAAACGTTTTTTCACCTGACGCACGACAAGATCAATTGTCAATTGTCCTCATGAAAAAAATGATCTCACTGGTTTCTTTATTGGAGACAATATTACGTGCTCTCTCAATTTTTCATAATGCAATACCGTTTTGTGGCTTTAGTGAAAGATGTTGGGGCTTGACTTTCTTCGTAAACGATCGTTTTTCACATGAGAAGAAAGGCATGCGGAACAGGAAGAGTCCCTTAAAATTGTGGTCTTCCATGAGACAATTTTAACCAGAACAATTTGAGATGAGAGTCAGGAAGTTGCAACTTTAGCGATAGGTTTCACTTCAAAACGTCAGGTGAATTCAATACTCCGCGGGTTCATCAATATGAATTGTTTTATTAAACTAAATGAATTTACAGTATCGATTGTCGGTTATAAGTCGATAAAAGCCAATCTCAAAATTCGAAATAAAAAATTCATCAGGCAGTAATAGAGCCGTCAATCCAAATGACTAGTCGTTTTATCGCTCACAGGTGATGCCACCCAGGGCAAGGCGCAAGAGTCTACATCATCCACCCTTGATCGAGACAAAATGGACAAAAAAGTGGTGTTCCTTCCGCACGTTATTCTCGAGAAGTAAAAAAGTGTCCGCTCCCCCAAATGAGATGCGCTTCAGAGATAAAAATTGTACTATCCCTCACTCGCCCCCTCAGTTCTCTTCAGGACAACCGACGGGCATCAGGTAGGTATCCTCCAGATATCCCGGGGCATATATCGCCCAACTTAATGGAAACCACTCAATCTTGGACGACCAGGGGGAATACGAAGTTAAATGCGCAGCTGGTGCCTGCTGATGTATTCTCTTAGACTTCAGCCAACTCCTCACTTGATTTTCGTGCATTCGGGAATTAAATCGTCATCGGTTCAAATTATTCAATTTCTCAATACTTTTCATATTTCTAAACAAGATCGAAGAAATATATTTTTCAACAACTTTTTTGTTTTTAAAAATACAGTGTAGCATTTTTTGAAGCTTTTTTTGCGCTATTCTAACGATATAACAACCATTTTACATATATATAGTATGTATAATATAGATATATAAATATAATAATTAATGTACATATTTAATATTCATCAATTTCTCATTTTCGATATAATAGAAATAATTAAAATGTGAAATGTAAATGATTAATGATCATTTTACACTATCATACTTTTATTACTGGGAGGTATAGAAAACAGGGTGCGTGTTATGTTCTAGTAAATTAAAAAAGATAAAACAAAAAATATACCTCCATAAATAAACTCTGACCCTCTCAAGCAGGTGATGAATCCCTTTTGAATATTTCTAAGAAAAAAACATTCAATTATGCTGTGATGGGAGGTGCCAACTCTTGCTGAATGAGGAAGACATCTACGATTTAATTGCTGCGGTTATTCAGTGAGACAGAATTAGAGGTAATTCTTTCATCCAACTAACCTCAAAATTCCGATTACCTCGTTTTCTACAGCTTGTTACGCGAATTTGATTAATTCAGTCACGCTTCCTTCAGGAAGGACGGCATGACAGAGACCAGCGATATGAAAACGAGGAGAAACATCAACCGGAACGTTTACTAATACAACCCAACGATCCTCCACTCGTTTACCGGGTGCCTGGACACAGGGTTCCATATTCAGTGGCGTAATGACGATATGATAATGTATTTTCCATTTCGAGACTTGATTACTTTTGCTGCAGTTAAAGCAGTCCATACGATACTCAGATTTCAAAGATTAAAATAAATTAAAACTGATTAGGATTGCGCGTAGTCTTCAGTCGAGTATTCCTTATTATGAATCCTTATTATGAATCCTTATTATGAAAGTAGAAACACAAAAATGAAGTTCGCCCGAGTCGAAATATCTCGAAACGCGTAGAACTAATTCCTGATTGGCCAACTCGAACCGCCAAATTCAAATTCGACATTTGCTTGCTATTGCTTACAATAAAAAAATGGCGAATGAAGAATCATACGTTGGAGTTGTCTCCACTAGGAAGTGGAGATGAGGACAGTACGCCTAGCAACACGGGCGAGAGCACATCCAGCTACTTTAACCAATATTAACTGAGATCTATATTTCTGTTTGCGTTTATCTTGACTTTATATTGTTAACCTAGGTTACTTTTATCAGTATAAATTATAGAATAGGATATTTTACTGAGGTGGAGTGTTTTAAAATATAGGGTATATAAAACCCTTTAGAATTTTACTTCTTACACTTTGTTTTCACTGGGGATAGAGGGGAAATGGAGTCGAAGTTTACGCCAATGTTTGGTATGAGAGGAACACACGGAGCACACGATAGGCTCTGGGTTGGGGCACGCGCCGGCACGCGCCACACTCTCACGCAAAGACAGCGCGTGCCTCTCACTAAACCTTTCCCACTCCTTCACACATCTCACCCTCTCGGTCTCAC